TGCATTGCTTAGTAAAACCAAACCCTACAATATTCTGGGCTGGCTAGGCAATGCCATGTAAAGGACACGCCCAACTAACTTTTTTTTTTATTTTTACAATGTTTTATGCTAGTTAACTAATTGTCACATGTACAATGTGCACAAGAAAATGCATGATTGTTAGCTACAAGAGGATATTAGTAAAACAAAGTCGCTTAAGAAGAAAACTCGGTTACGTGACCAACATGTATCCCCGTGTGGGTTCTGGGGACCCACTGTGGGGAAAAGAAGTAGAGACCCACTGCCTGCCCAAAAAGCATGTCGCAAGAATTGACTAACTGGAGGTTTCCTTCGAAGTCGGAGTGCATCTGCCTGAGATGAGAAGGAACCAACAGTCTGCATACCACTAAGCCAGATCTGTAAGACGGATGTACACGCAACACTCAGGCTCTGGAGCAAGTCTAAAGTTTAGTGGATTACTTTACCATGTTACAGTTTGCGAAGAAAGAAGAAGAAGAGCAAAACGTTGTGGCAACTGATTGGATTCCGTCAACAAACCCGTTTGCTTGGAATTCTCGCGCCTCACTAAGTGAATGTCATTGTGTACTGGTAACAATCATTTCGTAATCGTGTCGATACAAGGCATGTTAGGTTTCTTGGCAGTGGTCAACCGTTTGCCTGCAATCGTTTCACGGCTGTTTCAGTTCAAGAGTGCAATATTTACGGAGATCAGTGGGGATGGTCGCCAGAGCTACGGAGATCGAGCTCTGCGTGACACTCTCGGCAGGGGGCTAGCCGTTCTGTGGAGACAGACCAGGACATATGGGAATGAGGTCGATCCTCTCGACTTTAACCCTTATCCTTACTCGTACAAGACTGTAAGCGAATCCAGAATGATGTATCTGTTACCGTTGACCGGATTATAGGTTAGTTGCGTATCCTTTACAGGACGTTGCAGAACCAACCCCAGCAGCCCCTGGCTGTTGTGTGGTTTATCTAGGCAAATTTACGTCCAGTAGTTTGACATTGCCAACTGGACGGTCGGCACCCTGATACTATTGTCGATACCAACGCAAGGCACATGGCCCGCAGCTAGGATCGAACCCGGCACCCCGGCATTACAAAGCGTTCGCATCGACTTAGCCACAGAGCCGACGACCGAATTATAGCATTTGTATTTTCGACAAAGTGTATGTGATTGGCCCTGGTGGCTTGCAACTCACAGTGAAATTTTGTGATTTTATGTTGGTCGAATCTTCACGTAGCATACTAGTGTGAGGGAGGTGTGATGTTTGAACAACAGATCAACATCATGGCACACGGGTAGTAACCCATTAGTGCTCCGTTCTTCTTCTCACTCGTCTGAGTCCGAAGAAGCTCAACACAGTTCACAAGCTCTGTAGCACCGGCGAGGATCCTGTGTAAATTTTTAACTCCAACTTTTTGCCCGGGCAGCGCCGTTTGGCAACTCTTTTCGATTGCCAACCGCCAATGGATTTATTTTTGCGTGCGCAACAACGCACACAGGTGTCCGATCTTACTACCCATAGACAAGGGGGAATTACTAATGTCCAAATCCACGTGAAAAAATCCCAGCTCAGATTAACCCGGAACCTCTAGCACTCGAGGCGGACTTCATACCCTGAGAACACATAGCCACCTACCAGTTAGGGGGAGGGGGGGGGGGGGGGGGGCGGTGGAAACAACTAAAGTAGCAGAAGGCTTACACAATAATTACAATACATTACTTGCTAACTCATGAAAAGAAATCGACGACATCAACGATAAATGTGGAATATATATATATATATATATATATATATATATATATATATATATATATATATATATATATAAGCCTTCTGTGGCCCCGGAAATAGAAGAAGACGAGAACGGTCTGTCTGAAACAAAAATGTATACAAGTGGGCAATAACAAATAAAAGCAGTATAATAATATTTGTGCGTTTGAACAGTAATATTCGCGATAATTCTAAAAGGCTAGTTGCGTATCCTTTACAGGACGTTGTAGAACCAACTCTAACAGCCCCTGGCTGTTGTGCGGTTTCTCTAGGCAAATTTACGTCCAGTCGTTAGCCATTGCCACTGAACAGTCGGCTTTCTTGATACCACTGTCGAAACCAACGCAAGACGCGTGGCTTGCAGCTGGGATCGAACCCGGCATTCCGGCATTATGAAGCGTTCTCATCGACTTAGCCACAGAGCCGACTCGCGATAATTAACTAGTGGTAAATGTGTACAATGTCCATAATAACATTTGTAACAATTAACTAGTTGCAATGAGCACAGTTACATTCATGCTAGTTGACCAATTGTAAGTTTTAAACTGTGCGCTGTAACATTATTATTAGTAAACGAGGTTGTAATCGTTTACAATGTGCACTGTAACATTCGTGCTATGAAACTAGTTCTAATCTTTCCCAATGTTAGTTACAAGGGGTATATTACATTACTAAATAAGCAACATGAATACCACTTGAGCGTTTAAACAGTAACATTCTGGTATTCAACTCTTTGTACGCGTCTTCAATTTTTAATAGGCTCATTCATATTATTATTGCTATTATTATTATTATTATTATTATTATTATTATTATTATTATTATTATTATTATTATTATTATTATTATTATTATTATTATTATTACCATATAAATTTCAGGAAATCAGTAGGATGTATGAATATTTCTTCCTATAATGGGTTTTTTTTTTCTCGATGCCCCTGAATCACGCACACGCACGCACACACACACACACACACACACACACACACACACACACACACACTGTGGACACAACTGACATAGCTAGAAGCATAATACTTTTCTAACTCGACACGTAATCCATTTGAAGAACATGGTACAAAACTTCAGATACACTGCCTTATACTTGTACAACAAGGTCGGCACTGTGTGAGCCTCAGTGCTCTGTTGACGTAGTGTGCAGCTTCTTATCTCAGACATGTGCACATGCACACAACACTTTGGATAAGTTTTTTGCGCTGATGGATACTTATTGACAATGAACTTAGCGATAATATTATGTATAAATATACAGGGAACAAATCTAAAACAGGAAGAGGTGAAAACTCATTATATTAAAGTTATAGATCTTCTTTTTCTTCTTCTTTGTTTACCGGCTGTAAGTTCCGGTATAAGGTCTTAGTTGTTCGTACATTTGCACTTTGGCTTTGTGCGGGGGACTGAGTTTTAGGTGTGCATCCGTTTCACTGGCTTATTTTTGTGCAGTTGGTTGTTTCTTGCGTCTTTGCAGATGCACTCTGACTTCGAAAGAAGCTACTAATTAGTTGATTCCTACAACATGCTTGTTGTGGTGGCAGTGGGTGTGCTTTTGTCCCCCCCCCCCCTCAATGTAGTCCCCGGCACCCACACCGGGAAAAATGCTGTAGATAATATCGACCAAAGTATGGAGTACTGCAATTTTGCAGTGCCAACACACAAACCGCCATTGAAGCAAACTGGGCTGTGCCACGACCGGCTCCAGCTGACGGGCCGTGCTGCTGACGCCACCGGGTGGAGCTAACAATGTCATAACGCAGCGGCTCTCAAACTGGGTGCCGAGGCATCCTGGGGTGTCGTGAGCTTATGCCAGAGATGCTGCGGCAATAATTAAGAAAAATTAGCTAAAAATTATTAAAGAAGGCATGTAGAGAACTCCTGCGTTAATGCATCATTAGCCCGACCCGGTGACGTCAGCAGCACGACTTGTCAGATGGAACCGGTCATGGTTGTACGCACAACTACAGGTATCGCTTTATCTGAACTCTCAGTTCTCTGTCTGTGTTACAGGGCTCCCGTTTGAGGGGGGGGGGGGGGGGGAGTGGATGGAGAACAGACTCACTACCTCACAAACGTGCATGTCGTAAAAGGCGCAAAACATAGATTTTTCTCCCTCCTAAGTGGGGAGTTTAAATGACGGAGAGGCGAGAAATAGCAGTCTGCACAAAAATAAGTCAAATCTGTAAAAAGAATTGAATTCAAGTTTTTTTAACAAATCCAACGTCAAGAAGTAGATGAACAAAAATAACTTGCCGCTGGAGTTTACAGCTGATGACCTCTAGGAAGAAGTACTCTTAGTTAAATGTTTATTTATGTATTAATTTATTTGTTTGTGTCCATATTTAGTGATTTCCGTTTAAATAGCCTATCTACGACCACCCTAATGATTACTCGTCTATCTTTTCAAGATCAGTACAGTGCAGAACAGTCTAAAACCACCAGCTAAATAACTGATTTTCACCCTAATTTTACCTAGTACTGCATCCACTGCTATTCTATGGCCCTCTACAGGCAATTCTTGCTGTCATCATTAAGCCATAAACTAGCTTTGACTTGAGTTGAGAAAAAAAAAATAGTCACGTTCAGCCAGCATCCCTGAAGGGAAGCTTTCGGTTATAATTGTGACTAGCTTATGTATGCCATAAAAATGGCTTAAAACTGCAAGCCACCAAGAGCCATGAAAAGAACTCCTGCATTGTTGATGCGATCAAAGAAGACAACCCAAAAACTGACCCGAACGGCGACGAAGTCGTCTACTTGCGAGCCAGTGGGTTACCCGGTCGCATAGCATTTAATGAAGTCATCAGTATGTGTAAAAGTATCCATTTTTTACTAAGTGGTCTTACACTTTTTTGCCCCCAATTTGTAATTATCTTTTAGAACTAGGGAATAGTTAAAGTATTTACAACAGTCAAGTTGTGGATCAGGTGTAAAAGCGAATACACGAATGTTTACGGATTCTGTCAAAAGAATTCATTCTGTGGATTACATGTATGAATGCCGGACAGTTCTAATATCCTGTTTACAGAAGTCCAGCTGTGGATTACTATCTAGAACAATGGAGAATTTACAAATCCTGTCACCAGAAGTAAATCTGTGGATCGCTTGTAAGAATACTGTAAGGTTTACAAATTCTGTCCACCAAAGTCAACGTTTGAATCACATGCACGAATACTGGAAAGTTTACAAATGTCTTCAGTCTTGTTATGTGAAATCCAGCTTCCCTGAAATGAAATTTCCCAGACTTCCTTGGTCGTCAGATCTGCAATACTCGATACAAAGCTGGCGAAAGTAACTCAGATCAACATTTTGTTCGTGGTTCTGAAGAAAAAACATTGAGCAAGTAAATAGAAGTCTTGAAGAAAGTATTACATACAATGAAGGTAATTACTTAAATAACCACCACCACCATTAAAAAAAAAAAAAACGCAGAGCATTGAAAAAAAGCATCCTCAACAAAGGGTGCATTTGATTAGGTATCGATAAAAATGGAGCATGTAATTAAACAGTCTAAACAAAAGATGCATTTCATTAGGTATTCTAAACAGTGAACAGATTTAATTAAGTATCCTTAACCAATTTCAAATTTAATTATATATCTTAAACCACAAAAGCAGCGTTTAATTAAGTATTCTAAACAAATGGCGCCTTTCCTGAAGTATTCAAAATAAAGAAAACTCAGGAAACATGCTGAGGAAGGTCAGGGCAGGCATGTTTCGTGCAGAGTGACATGCTTTACTGGGAAGGACACGGGTGAGGAGTTATTGTCTGGATTTTTTCACCAGGAGACGCCGGTGTGTTGGGAAATGAACAGGCGGACAGACTGGCTGACTCTGCACAACTTGGTGGAATACTGACGTATGATAAGACAGATGTGGTTAGTGCCTTGTGGGAGAGCGTGTACAGTTCGGAGAAACAGATGGATCACCACACTCTTATGAGAATGATGCAGCGGGGAGTGACGAGAGATTTTGGCAGATGCTCGAGGCTCTGAGGACAGGCAAGACGGACGTTTAATCAGAATGCTACTGACACCATTAGTATTAGAACTCTTCACTGATGCTGAGGATGGGGACGAAGCGATTATGGGAATGCCCCGAGTGCTGGATGTCGGTTCTTGAATCAACTCAACTCAGCTCAAAATGCAGAACACATTTAATGTAAACATATTTTAACATCCTTTGTAACACCTGGTATACTTTCTACAAAAAATCGTAGTTAAATGTAATGTTTTGCCACATGACATTCTATAAGTAAATTAAATGAGCATTGCAAACAGTTGGTTACCTTAGAAAAGAGAAGAAACGATGTTCTGGCCTCCTTAGGCGACACACCAAAATCTCCACAAACGTACTCGAATTCATCAATGTCGATGACACCATCCCCTGGACACGAAGCATGAGTATATTACTCCACAATTATGTCTATCAGTGTAAATAAACATTACAGTAAACGTAGAGCAAGTAGCAAGTTTTCATTTTTTTTTTTTTAGAAATATAACAATTGATGATAGTTTTGATGATTTTCAATGCTCGGGGAAGAAGTCTAGTGGCCCTGTTAATCAGACTGCAGCTAACACCATCATTATGGAAACATTTAGATGACTATTGAGAAAGGAAAAAGATCACCAACGGTAATGTCCCTGGTGCATATATATTATTGATTAATGAGTTCCTTCACTCATGGCACTACATGTAAAACATAAATTGACAAGATAATAGCTATGGCCAATATATTATAGTAGCATGAGAAATGTATTCATATTTCGGGGGATAAATAAAACACCAGAACTTCGTTTTTTAATAGGCTCAGTGCTACAGTAGGGTAGAAACAGATAACTTTTACATGTGATGTCTAAGAAGACTATCTGGAAGTAAGAGACAAGGCAGGATCACAAACACTGAGGTACTTTAAAGAGCAGGTATTACAGCAATTATCTCAATGCTCAGCCTCTGAAGGCTCAGTTAGCTGAGTCACATTGAAGAATGGAAGATTATGGTGCCTCTAAAGACATCCTCTATGCGAATAACTAATAGGTAGAGGATGTCGAGGCGAACCTCTACTACTATAGAAAGACTGTGCAAGGGAGACATGAATGGTACACGTATTGAGGTGGATTCGCTGGAACAAAATGGCGTGGACCATGTTGCGTGGAGGGGACAGATCACAAAGGGAATGAGAATGAATTTTAATGAAATGATTGAAGAAATGTTTGAAGAATGGGTAAGAGCTAAGCTTATGAGAAGACACACCTTAAATGCACATCGCAACACCGGTCCTAAAATTCCATGCTCTAATTGTAGAAGAGTTTGTGAGTTTCATGCCTCCTTATAGCATAATCTAACAGCATCGTCTGGAAAGGCGGAAAGGTGCCGTCAGAACAGAGTGTTGTGCAGAAACCTAGACAATGAATATACAATTAGAAAGTCGAGTGAAGTTTCTGAACATGTGGAAACATAGAAAAGACTATTATATATATATTTTTTGGGGGGTGTAATTTCTGTGCATCCCAAGGTTCTTCGACAATGAAACTAAAATAGATAACTAACCTGTTCTCTCTTTGTAGGTTCTTGAACCCCATTTTGGGAAACCAAGAACTGACCCCTGCCCCCTAACAAACATGTCATAGTAGGGGACATAGCAGTGGTGTTTCATTCAAAGACAAAATGTATCTGTCTAAGAGACAAAGACCCAAAAGTCTGTGTTCAGATAAATTAGACGTGCAAAGCGGATACACAAACAAACTTAAGACCAGCGTAATGTATCTGTCTAAGAGACAAAGACCCAAAAGTCTGTGTTTAGATAAATCAGACATGCAAAACGGATACAATGCAAACTCAAGACCAGCGTAATGTATCTGTCTAAGAGACAAGGACCCAAAAGTCTGTGTTCAGATAAATCAGACATGCAGCAAACTCAAGACCAGCGTCCAGACGTGCAGGAACAACCAAAACTTTCCGCTGAATTCTACAGCCGGTGAACCTTAAGAAGAGGAAGACTAACCTGTTCTATCAAAAAGATCAAACTTGTACTCGATGTATCGCTCCAACCAGTCTGGAATCTTGTCATCCTTCTCTTCAAAATTCTTATCTTTCTTTCTGGTCAGGTATTCGGTGTTGAGTTTCTCCCACATTCGCATCTAGAAAATTGTAGATGTAACATTTAGTTAATAATTGATTCAGTTCAGTTACACGTAGAAATGCTAAAAATAACATAAAATGTGACTAGAAAAACCAACGGGGGGGGGGGGTGGAATAGGAAAGACGCAGACAAAAACAACCGAACGTAACAACCGAGGTCTTTATCAACGGAGTACTGAATACAGCACAAACTGTGATTGGAAAGCTCAGTGAACTAGACAATAGTGCTAATTTAAAAAAAACAAAGGTCAACATGAAACCAAGAAGTACACAACTGAGGTTGGGGGAGGGGGGGAGGGTGGTGTGAGTATAAAGGGCTATATAGTACGAAATGAAATAGGTAAAAAAAAAAGCCGTATTCTAAAGGGGGGAAGAAATATTTATAAGCAAAATAGGTTTAAAAGTAAACATGTTAAATTGAATTAAATTAAATCAAGCTACGTTCAATATTGATACCTCTAGGAGACAGAACGCCAAAACTGTGGATGAAACCATTTTCTAATGAGTAGCGGCTGATCTGATCATCACAGCAAGAATTAACAGCAGTGACTGCGATATCGTTTTCGCCTTGTTGGTCAGAATCGTTGAAATGAAAAAATGGTTTGAGAGTTTTGAGAGACTTATTATGAATGTCAGCAAAATGTTCCCGGGAGCGATCTACCAGCTTCCTGCTCCCCCTCCCCCCCCCCCAATTTATGCCTTTTTACATCTTTTGCAGATGATGGCACAAATTAAGTGACGTGACCCAGAATTAAATGCTTCTTTGATGTGAAATAAAGCCTTCGGGAAGCAGACTCAAGGGGTCTGGATCACAAATGAACATGCTTTACATGTTGCACATATAGATCTGTCATTTTATAGCTTGTCATTCATTCCGAAAAGTCCAGTTTGTGAATATAAAGCTTTCTATTCTTCTTTCTGCTTTCCTTTGTGTGCTGCTACTTTTGAATCTTTTCATCCATATGATTAAGGCGGTGTCACCCTAGATATAAATCGGACACGTTAAAACCCAGATACTTCAAGAATACTCTTAGTGTGCGCTACAGTGGTGTACCGGTGAAGAATGATTTGCCTTCCTCAAAAGTAGATTTGCCCACCATTTATAAAAGTAAAAACAGCAGCATCCAATACGCACTATGAAAAGAAGCAAATAGAATGCTCTAAAAACAAGCGTATGGGTGAAGGTGTTACTTCTGTATCATCGAAAGCCGCTGTGTTTTCGTATCATCAAAAGTCATCATGTTTTATTACTTTCAAGAAAATGTCCTTGCGCTTGTATTAAAACGCATCATGTATCAATAATTTTTTATCATCAGTAGGTATCACGCTTGTATCATCAAAAATCATCACATTTCTGTTATTAAAAAGTCATCATATTTATATCATCAAAATTCGTTACCCACTCATCCTCGGTGACTTTCCCGTCAAGATCGACATCGCCGTCGTCTTGTAGGTACCTCCACATGTCGGCAAAAACACGTTGGGCCTTTAGAGCCTTGTCACTACCGTCCTTCCAGCCACTCATCGCACAGATTCTCTGCAACATCGTGTGAAAGGAAGAACTTCAAGCCGCCATAAGTATTTAACACTTTCAGTTACAGTTATTTAGTTAAAATAAATGAGCTACTATTTGCAGACGATCGGTGCTTGTTCTAAAATGACGGGAGTAGACTGTAAGAACATTTGAACAGTCTAAGTTCAACATGCAGAAGACATAACATGAAAATAAAATATACTAAAACTGAAATAATCCATGTCAGCAAAATTCCTAGTCCGCTTTGTATCGGGTGAATGGTACTTATCTGAAGCATTTAAAAATGTAGGAATTATGTTTATGGAGTACGGGAGAATAGATTAGGAAATAGAAACAATATGCCAACGAGCCAGTGCACTTATATACCAAGTGACACCGTTATTAGTCCTTCAAACATAAGTATGAGCGCCAAGAAACATACTATGAACAGCATATTCATACCAACATTGTGCTACAGTGCCAGACATGGACATTATGTTAGATGAATAAACGAACCTGGAGCACAGCTAACGCACCCTACCAAACCCCCATGGGTAGTGACTTGCTCCAGTCACAAACAAGAGCTACCCCACAAGACAAAACCATGATTAGGTTCCTATGGGAGAGCTAGGAGAGGTCAAGAAAAACAGGACCACTAAAATCTGCGGGGAAAGCAAAAAAAAAGTACTGCTATCACAAGACCGGCAAGGTTGTATAACAGCCATTGGCACTGAGACATACTGCGAAAATATAATCAGCCAAACAACACAGTTATGAGATACAGTGTTGAAATCTCGCCCTCTCGTCTTCAATAAATTCACTCATTTGGAGCAATCCAGATAATAAACCAAATTCTACTGAATAGTCAAAACTCTAGAACATAATAAAATAATACACAGAACTACACACACGTCATCCACGAACACACACCTCCGCTCTATTTCTAACCAAACGAGAAGCACTGACGTGGACGGGTTCACCTTCAGCGGCCGATCAAACTTGGGTCTCACAGTACCCGTGGAGCCGCTGTTACTACTTAATCTCTAGAAACACTAGTCTCAAAACTTCACGTAGCTTGGACCCTTTGCACCCGTCTCTGTCATTATCATCATTCTCTATTGCCTTTAAGACTGGCTTAGGCGATCATGCCCACATCATTTGTACACTTGATTAGCAAAGTGATTTCAGCACGCAACAATTTTTAAAGGCTACTTTACGTAAAATTAACAACCTGTGAAATGAGGTGCCTGAGAAAAGCCGCCAACCACCATTCGAGATAAAGCTACATATTTATATATACACATACACGCACACACACACACACACACACATATATATATATATATATATATATATATATATATGTGTGTGTGTGTGTGTATATATATATATATATATATATTTAAATTCTGATCATATATATATATATATATATATATATATATATATATATATATATATATATATATATATATATATATTTAAATTCTGATCATATATATATATATATTTAAATTCTATCATATATATTTATATGATCAGAATTAAATATATATATATATATACATATATATATATATAATATATATATATATATATATATATATATATATATATATATATATATATATATATATATATATATATATATATATATATATATATATATATGTAAATTTAAATTCATCATATATATATATATATATATGATCAGAATTTAAATGTTCATCCCTTACTGCTATACCTTCATTTCAGTTTGTTGTGGCAGCTTCCAGTATATGCACTTAATATTTAAAGTAATAACTTTGAGCTCCGCAATGCACATTTTTTTTTTTTTTTTGAAGCCTTTATAGAAAAGTAATTTTTCTTTTTATCTTAATATTATTAAGCAGAGAGAAAATTATATTTATAACTGCAGGGGAATGGGGTAATGCCTCAAGACTAGGCACACATTTTGGATACTAATGGAAAGCTGTTTTCATGTTTACCATTTCCTTTCGAAATTGTCAAGCAAAATGTGCCTGGTGTGGTGTGTGTGTGTGTGTGTGTGTGTGTGTGTGTGTGTGTGTGTTGTGTGTGTGATTGTGTGTGTGTATTTCGAAATTTTTCGTTGATTTTGCACTATTTTTTCCTTCCATTCTTTATTTATTTGTTCATAATGTTACTCTTAAACAAGGCTGGGAAATTAGCCGCAGCCTAAAGTAATACCGAAATCAATTCACACTTTCTTTTAAATTTTCGCAAGCCCCTTGTACAAAAAAACAGAAACATACCATCCGTGCTATTTGGAAGTCTTTCCACTCTAGTACGCCGTCTTTGTTTAGATCTGGGAACAATAAGTAGTGGTAGTAATTTAAAGAACAAATATTTTGTTTAACCCATACTGGTTAAAGAGTTAGGACGTAGCAGAACCAACCCTAGCATTTATTGGCTGTTGTGAGTTTTTCTAGGAAAATTTTACATTCTGTAGTTTGCTATTGAACTGAACGGTCAGCTCACTGTACGACTGTCGAAACCAACATAAGACAAATCGTCTGCAGCAGGGATCGAACCCAGCTCTGTGGCATTGCGAAGCGTCTTCGCAACGCCTAAGTCACAGACGCCGACTCCTGGTTGTAATAGGAAAATAAAGTTTTTTGTCTTTTCATTTTATTTTTCAGTTATAGACGGCTATCTCTATTAATTATGTTTGGCTATGCAATATTGCGAAGCTTGTGTTTTAATTGTATAAGTTTGCAGGAGTATATATTGTAATACTCAATATACTTTAAATGTACTTTCAAACCTCTATTAATTATGTTTGGCTATGCAATATTGCGAAGCTTGTGTATTAATTGTATAAGTTTGCAGGAGTATATATTGTAATACTCAATATACTTTAAATGTACTTTCAAACAATTATTGGAATCATACTGTGCAGTGGTGGCGTCCGTGGCTCATGCGTTGCGAATCCGACTTGTAATTCAAACATACCACGAACGAAGCCCATGGCTGTAGGAGTCTGTGGCCTAGCTGCTAGACGCTCGCGTGTAGATCAGAAGGTCGTGGGTTCGCACACTGGCGGAGCCAGATTTTACATGACACTAATTCCTAGGTCGACCCAGCCTTGAGTGGGTACCGGGTGCAGTCATGAAAAGTAAAGCGGGCGGGTGTGATGCTGACCACATCACTCATCCTGTGCCGATTGATCTTTAAATATATAGGGCTAGCCCTATATGCCCTTTAGCCTTAAGGCGTGGAAAAGAGACGTTGACATTTACTCACTTACTGTGCAGTCTATCTTTGCGATGTTTTAGCGATACCATTTTTCAGTCCTAAGATATAAAACACATCACACGCCAACTACGATTTTTTGCGATTTATTTTTCAATTCTTTCCCGAATTATATAGAACAGTCTACTCCCAGCATGTTTTTTAAAATTGGTATAAGGTAGGTAATTGTATCCCACCAGGATATCAAACAAGCAATAAACACCTGGTGATACAACGTGCCACCATGCGGATGAGGATCACCCATGCTAGAGGTCCCAGAAACCCCTTTCAGTCGTTAGGCCATATTTATGGCCCTGCTATATTCAGGGTCCCCGGCAAAAGTCAGGGTGGGGCTTCCCACATGGGGACGACTATTTGACATTATAGGTATAGGTTTATTGCAGCGGATCAAATATTCAATAAAGGGGAGTCCGCTGGAGTTCGTATTTCTTGCATTAAAGTAAATAATGTTCAATATCATCACGCACCTGACACAGTGAACAGATGTTGTCTGCTCTAATGAAATAAGCTATTTCAGTTAACAGTTTCATTTGTTGTTTGACACTGTCTAGTTAGACACTCAATTTGTAGACATGCTCTTCTTTTAAGCTTCCATTCCACATCCCTGTCCATTCTTCCGTTTAGCAAAAATAAAACAGTAAACATCCCTTTTCACACCCTTAGGTCATATGGGAAGAGCGCCCATATTTTTAAAGACCATCGGCACTAGGAGGGTAATGTGGTCAGCCGACTTTACTTTCCCAAGACAGCCATCCTGGTACCCATTTTAAGCTGGGTCGACATGCGACGCCCAATTCTTTCGTTATCATTTTGTTAATTACTAGTTTAAAACCATGCTTACTTACAGCTGCATGTATTTTATAATTATATTTTTTTTTTTTTCTTTGATTTTTCCTTATCTGCATGCCCTTTCATTTCCTTAAATTCTCATTGTGTGCTGGTACCCACATAATTAACACTGAACAGCCACTTGTTCACACATAATTTGTAGCCAAGAAAATCCCCTCAGTGATGTCATTTCTTCTACATATTTTGGCCTCCTCTACGATGTCACTTCTTCTACATATTTTGCCCTCCTCTACGATGTCACTTCTTCTACATATTTTGGCCTTCTCTACGATGTCACTTCTTCTACATATTTTGCCCTCCTCTACGATGTCACTTCTTCTACATATTTTGCCCTCCTCTACGATGTCACTTCTTCTACATATTTTGGCCTTCTCTACGATGTCACTTCTTCTACATATTTTGGTCTCCTCTACGATGTCATTACTTCTACATATTTTGGCCTCCTCTACGATGTCATTTCTTTTACATATTTTGGCCTCCTCTAGGATGTCATTTCTTCTACTTACTTTGGTCCCCACTACGATGTCATTTCTTCTACATATTTTGGTTTTCTCTACGATGTCATTTCTTCTACATATTTTGGTCTCCTCTACGATGTCATTTCTTCTACATATTTTGGTCTCCTCTACGATGTAATTTCTTCTACATATCTTGATCTCATCTGCAATGTCATTTCTTCTACATATCTTGATCTCATCTGCGATGTGATTTCTTCTCCACGTCTTGTTTTCCTGTGAAATGCCATTTCGTCTAGATAATATCATAGTATTGGAATAATAAGATTAAATTGTGTTAGTGCGCATTCAAATGAATGCAGCTACAGTTGCATAGTGACGTAAGGCGTTCCTGTCGCCCACAGATCTGTAGTTCTAATCAGCTGTGGGAGGAATTATTTACGACTGACAATTACCAACAAACAACAAACAAGTCGATTACTAAAATGGGTACTGGGAAATGTCAGGGGAAGTCAAGACAACGGTTGTGTCACTGACGACCGTTTGGATTATAACAAAAGGAGTTGTACGACAACGATGATGATTCTCCGGTAAGCAGGGTTAGGATTGCTAGAAAATCTCTTGTTGCGGGGAGTTGGTAGCAAACGATTCTGGTAAATGGTCACAACAATCAAGTACCTACTTACATGCAGATAAAAAGGGGAAAAAAACTAGAAGTTGAAGCTTTTAAATGTCTTGGCTACCACATATATAACGGTGACAGTTGCACCAAAGAGATCAAGACAAGACTTGATATGGCAACAGCCGTGATGTCTCAGCTGAACCCGATATAAAGGTAAGGAAAGTAAAGGACCCTTTTCCACGCCTTATATTTAATAGACCACGGGCACAAGATGGGTAATATGGTCAGCTGCCTTTACTCCCCAAGACTGCACCCGGTATCCACTCAAGGCTGCGTTGACCTAGGAGCCAAGGTCATTTTTGAAAAAAGTTTGGCTCCGTCAGGGAGCGAACCCACGACCTTCCTAAAGGCAGGCGAGCGACTTGCCGATACGCCACGTGGACTACCTGAAATCTTTGTGGAAGAGAAAAATCATTATCGCAGTCAAGGTCAATATTTACAAATCACTGGTTTTGACTATTTGTTTTTGAGGGGGAAAAAATGATGATTTAGGCTTTCGAATGTAAATGCTAAAAACGAATTTTACGAACTTTAATTTTAAGAACTGTAAACTAATAAATATGTCAGAGACAAAATATACACATTTGTGGGACATTAGGAGCCTCTTTGGCAGTGAGGAAGCGTAGAAAGCTAGCTTGGTATGGGCAGTCGAAGAAGAGGAGAGAAAAGAAGAAACTTGAATAAAAACATCAAGAAATGGACAGAACGAAGTTACCATGCACTTAATTATCAAAAAAGAAGATAGAAAAAGACGGCGGGTTTTATGTGTTAGTGCTTCCATCAATACACCTCCACGACCCTAACGGGTCAAGGGTCATGTTATGCTAAGTTATGTAGCTAACGTTGACCCACAAAACACATTAACTGCACTTCCGAGTAGTGAGGAGCTGGAAGCTTTAGCCATCAGATCGTGTGTTAACGGGACCTGTCCTAGATGGATATGATTATAGTTAACATGCGACTGGTCTAGCAGGTTGGCAGGGATACTGTTAAGGCTCGGACAAAAAGAACGCAGTACAAATAGACTGACCAAATGTAAACGGCCCATATGAATCCACGGTTAGTTCGACGTTAGTCTCCCCAAAAAGAGTAGGTCACTCTTCATTCCCAAGTTTGTTGGACTGGTCGACTTTCCTTAAGGTTTTGGATGTGCCTAGGGGAGTTTTGTTAGACCCAGTTTCTCCGTGTTTTTTGGAGTGTTAAAGGCGCTGGCGTGGTGAAATATACAACACTCGATATCAACAGCATTGCGGAACACCCCCGTAAATGTGTGCGATGGACAAGAGGCTTAGGAACCACCAATCAGAAGTGGGCTAGTGTGTATATGGGCGTGGTCTGGTGAGAATAACATTGAACTAACTGAATCCACTTATTCGAATTTCACAAATAGGCATTTCCCCGTAAATTATGCTTCTCTTCGACAACGCTAGGTACAAAACAATAAAGATCAGATAGTGATGATATTGGCGATGATAATTATGATGATGATGTTATGACGATGAGGACGTCGATAATCATGATGATGATGATATGATGACAATGATAATGAATGACTTACCAAAGAACGTGTGATATTCGTACAGAAGTTTCTTTTTCTGGAAACTGCTTAGCTCCTTATTCGAAACGTTCCCCATTGCTCTGACTAGTTTCTCCTGGACTGTAGCCAATTGTGAGGGGAAGAAACACACACAAGAAATTACTTCTGAATGGGAAAAACCCGGCTTTAGTAAGAAATATGGATAGTTAACGTGTTGTTTGTTCTGTTGATAATTTAGTTGTTTTGTTCGTCAGTTGATTAGCTGTTAATTCCTTTGTTATATCAACCGTTTGTTGAACGGCTAATTTGTTAGTTGTTTCGTTGGTTGTAATGTTTATTCGTTGGTTTATTGTCTGGTTCTCTGATTATTTGGTTCCAATTCCAATTCCCTTTTCTATTAAATTTAAAATTCAACCATGTTCAACCATCCAATAGCTAGCCGAAGCTGCTAACAGTCTCCGGCTATATTTGCGGTCTTTTAAATTTCAGCTACTTTCGTGGCTAAAGATCTGGTGGATTTGTTGGTTAGCTGGGCTGCTTGGTTGGTCAGTCAAAAGGTTTATTGGTTCGTTGATTCGTTGAACGATCAATAGTCTCTGAAGTGATGCAACTTGTTGCCATATAGAATACAAGTCTCTGTGCAATACTCGCTCAGGAATATAATAAAATTATTGCACGCTCAAATGACCAAGGCGCCATTGCAAAGGACTTGAATGTTAAATCTGTCTTTAATAAGATTGCATGTGAGTGTAAATGTGTGGTTGTGGGCATATCTGGGTGTCTGTACATGTGATTGTATGTGCGTGTATGAATGCATGCATGTGCAGGTGTGTATGTATGGAATGTGTGTGTGCATTTATGTCCATATATGTATGTGTGTGTCTTTTCTGTTTTTGTATGTATGTTGATGCATGTATACATGTATGTATTAAGTATGCCAGTGTATGAGTGTGCATGTATGAGAATGTAAGAGTATATATATACGTGTGTGTGAGTGTTTAAGACTGTGTACACATGATGCGTGTGTGCATTATTCTATAATGTACATTTCTTTTTTATTTCCATAACATGCATTATTGATAACAGGCACTGGTTCTCTGAAAAATGAGTGCTTAGATGGGTTGAATGTCAGACGGGCCTGCGTGCCCAATTTGTAACCCTTTGAAAATAAAGTTTGTTCGTTCGTTCGTTCGTTCTCCCTCTTCCCCCCTCTCTCTCTCTCTCTCTCTCTCTCTCTCTCTCTCTCTCTCTCTCTCTCTCTTTCTCTCTCTCTCTCTCTCTTCTCTATCTCTCTTACTTTCTCCCTGTTTCTCTCTCTTCTGATTATCTCTGTCTTTCGTTCTGTCTCCACCCTCTCCTTGTCCCTCAGTGCTGAGAAACAGCTGCATGTACAACTCTGATAACAAATTGGACACACATGAATGCGTTCATCAAAACAATCAATGGAGTTGATAGGTTTCTACCGGTCAATACCGTTGGTGTCGTATTTCCTTGTTAGCGTGTAATTTGGTAGTAGATTATAGCAACAGAACGAATAAGTAGTTTTAGTATTATGTGTGGAAATTGTGGTGGTCGTGGTGGTAGTGGAAGGAATGTTGTAGTAGTAGCAGCACCAGCAGTAGTAGTAGTAATAATAGTAGTATTAGTAGTAGTAGTAGTACTAGTAGTAGTAGTAGTTGTTGTTGTTGTTCTAGTACTAGCAGCAATAGTAGTGGTAGCAGTAGTGATTGAGGAGGTAGTAGTTGTAGTTCTAGTAGTAGTAGCACTAGTAGTAGTAGTAGTAGTAGTAGTGGTAGTAGTAGTAGTAGTGGTAATATTAGTAGTAGTATTAGTAGTAGTAGTTGAGGAGGTAGTAGTTGTAGTTCTAGTAGTAGTAGTAGTAGTATTAGTAGTAGTAGTTGAGGAGGTAGTAGTTGTAGTTCTAGTAGTAGTAGCACTAGTTGTAGTAGTAGTAAAAATATTAGTAGTAGATATTGTTGTTGTTGTTCTAGCAGTAGCAGCACTAGTAGTACTAGAAGTAGTAGTTGTAGTATTAGTGGTGGTGATGGTAGTAGTAGAAGTAGTAGTAGTAGTAGTAGTAGTAGTGGTGGTGGTGGTGTTGGTAGTAGTAGTATAGTAGAAGTAGTAGGAGTAGTGGTAGTAGTTATTTTTGTTGTTTTAATTCTAGTAGTAGTAGTAGTAGTAGAAGTAGTAGTAGTAGTAGTAGTAGTAGTAGTAGTAGTAGTAGTAGTAGTAGTAGTAGTAGTAGTAGTAGTAGTAGTGGTAGTAATAGTAGTAGTAGTAGTAGTAGTAGTAGTAGTAGTGGTAGTAGTATAGTAGAAGTAGTAGTAGTAGTAGTAGTAGTAGTAGTAGTAGTAGTAGTAGTAGTAGTAGTAGTAGTAGTAGTAGTAGTAGTAGTTATTGTTGTTGTTGTAGTTCTAGTAGTAGCAGGACTATTAGTAGTAGTAATAATAGTATAAGTAGTGGTAGTAGTTGTAGTAGTAGTAGTAGTAATGGCAGTAGTAGTTGTTGCGGTTGTAATAGCAATAGTTGAGGGGGTAATAGTTGTAGTTCTAGTAGAAGTCGTAGTTATTGTTGTTGTAGTTCTAGTAGTAGTAGCACTATTAGTGGTAGCACTATAGTGGTAGCACTATTAGTGGTTGGGTAGGTAGTAGTTGTAGTTCTAGTAGTAGTAGCACTAGTTGTAGTGGTAGTAAAAGTAGTATTAGTAGATATTGTTGTTGTTGTTTTAGAAGTAGCAGCACTAGTAGTACTAGAAGTTGTAGTAGTAGTATTTGTAGTAGCAGTAGTAGCAGTAGCAGCAGCAGCAGTAGTAGTAGTAGTAATAGTAGTAGTTGTAGTAGTAGTAGTAGTAGTAGTAGTAGTAGTAGTAGTAGTAGTAGTAGTAGTAGTAGTAGTAGTAGTAGTAGTAGTAGTAGTAGTAGTAGTAGTAGTAGTAGTAGTAGTAGTAGTAGTAGTAGTAGTAGTAGACAAACATTCAAATAACGGGTGCCTACTTTGATGAGAGAAGATTAAATGGTATCAGAATCAATAATATTGAGCTTCTAAACAAGTTCCAGTGGATCCAGAGGTGAAGAGAAGACGCTGACGTTTGATAGGACACATGTTAAGAAAACCTAAAAACATTATAAATAGAATTACTTTGCAATGGAACACCACATTGGCACAGAACTAAAGGCAGACCAAAAACACACGGATAAAGGAAATAGGGGTTGAACTTCAAACGACAGGGGATGACATAGGGTGAGCCGCATGCAATAGCAAAAGGTGAATGACTTGGCGTAAGATGGTTGAAGATGTATGAACCATTGGGGGAGAGAAGGCAGAGGAAGAAGTAGTAGTGGTAGTGGTGATGGTCATGGTAATAGTAGCAGTAGGCGAAAGTAGAAAAATATATATAACTATAAGAGTGAACCGGAGTTGGTTGGCCAAGTGAGGAGTCTAGAGCCCCATGCAGAATAAACGTGTAGCAACAGAGGATAACTGCAATGATAAACACCACTAGGTGGTGTTATCTGGTTGCGTATTCTTCACAGGACGTTGCAAAATCAATCACAGCATTTTTATGGCTGTTGGTGATTTTTCTAGACAATTTTACGTTCAGTAGATTGCCATTACACTGAACGGTCAGCTCTATATACCATTAGAGAAAACAATGAATTGGTGTCTGCTGCTGAATCTCCCGCAGGGTGGAATCGAACAGGGTATCTCGGGTTACAAACCGCGTTTGATACGCCAGAGCTAGACGCCAACACTGGTGACAGCAATACAGGACTGGGTTAAGACATATTAAGCACGTCCCAGTATCCGTTGTAATGTGGGGTGGGGGGGGGGGATTGAGGATACAAAGAGTTATTACAGAACGAAACAGAACAGAAGGAACGGGGACATTAAAGGAAAAATATAAATCAAAAACATAATTAGTTTGGATATTTCAACAAGCTACAATAAACATTGATCCTTTTAGGACTGAGAAGACCGAAAGAAATATTTTTACGAAGGACAGAAGAGTGGTTTGATTACCGTAGCAAGACTGAATGGCAGTTACAGAGATGTAAAAGTTATCTTGGTGGTCAAACTTTAAAAAATGAAAGGAAAACTGGTTTAAAACCTGCATTGTGAATACCCGTAACATATTTACAGAAAAGATCTGGTAGTTTTCTGCGAGTTTTCTCCATATAGAAAAATCATACTAGTTTTTTTTTTTAATGTAGTGAATTTCTCTGTTTGGTTTAGGTTTAAACAACGGATCAAAATCATGTACAAAGGTAGTAACCCATGTGCCCCATTCTACCTTTATGTAGAGTCCGAGTCCAAAGAATCGCAGCGCAGTGCACGAACTCCGTAGCACTGGCGAGGATCCTGAAATACTTAGGCAGTTTTTAACTCCAAATTTTGCCACGGCTGCACCGTTATGCTACTGTTTTCGATTTCTAGCTGCCAAGGGATTTTTTACGTGCGCATGAATACACACGGGCGTCCGATCTTACTAACCAGAGACCAGGGGGAAATTACCAGAAGACCACGTGAGAAAATCCCAGCCTTCACCGGGGCCTTAACCCGGGACCTCCAGCACTCGAGGCGGACGCCATGCCTCAAGACCAGCCAGCCCTCCACAATTTCTGTCTAGTCTTTGGTATGAAAATTGTTATAGGCCAGAGAAACTCTCGCTGTCACTCCTCTTCATTGTCGTCGTCCTCATCTTCTCCTTCTTGTATTTAATTGTGCATTTCCTTCTGTCTTTCCTTCTTTCTTTTCTTTTCCTCTATTTTCTTTTTTTTTTCTCTTTCTTTCTTTCTTTCCTCTCTGTCTTTTACTTCTGTTTTCTGCCCCCCCCCCTTTTCCTCCTCTTCCATGCTCGTGGTCTTCTTCTTCTTCTTCCTCTTCTTCTTCTTCTTCTTCTCTTCTTCTTCTTCTTCTTCTTCTTCTTCTTCTTCTTCTTCTTCTTCTTCTTCTTCTTCTTTCTTCTTTCTTCTTCTTTTTCTTCCTTCTTCTTCTTCTTCTTCTTCTTCTTCTTCTTCTTCTTCTTCTTCTCTTCTCTTCTTCTTCTTCTTCTTCTTCTTCGTCTTCTTCTTCTTCTTTTATTATTATATGATT